TCTGGTGAGTCAGCCACAAAGCGCATGATAGTTCAGTACCCACTGTTTAGGCTGATGAAAATGCTAAAACCCGTCACAGTCTCGGAACCACACCATACCACACCACACCACACCACACCACACCACACCATACCGTTCCATACTACACCACACTACACCATACCATACCATACCACACCGCGCGACACAGGGCACGGCACAGCACGGTACACACATCTGGGCTGGTGTGCATGCTATTTGAAATACTAGTAGTAACGGTTTTATTTGCTGTGTCTTTTACTTTTGGAACACATGTAATCATTTTTCATACGCCTAACGGCATCCCGAGAATCGGGTTCGTGAGCGATTCTTCTTGTTCCTTTAAACTTGATAATCATTCATACACTTTTTATTTATCAGTCCCAGCAGCAGGCGAGAATATGGACAAACTCTTGTACAATGTGGATGACGCTGAAAGCTCTTTGCTGCACCTGGCAGTCAGTAGTCGCAGTCTGCAGGTAATATGATAATAGTGATGATGATAGGGGACCGGTGATAAAGTAAAGTGGGTGGGGAGGGTAAAAACAGGGGGTGATCAGTCACACAATTTTGAACTTCTTACCGCCATTTGCATTGCTACGCGGCCACCCCAGACAAAAAACGCGACGTGCGCTTTGCAATAGACTGCCGTCAATCAAACACGTTGACGTCATTTACACGCGTTTGGATCGGCCCGGTAGGCCCGTTGAGTGTGGCTCATAATACTTGTAAAGAATCGACAAGTTTTGGCGCCTTTTGAACCACACACGCGTGTAAATGATGTCAACGTGCCCTGATTGGTCGAAAACTGTGCTTTATTAGTAAACGGAGCACAGTGCTGACGCCATCCGCGCGCKCGAAGTTCTGCTATAGATCCTGCGACCCGCCCGTCTTTCTTTTTTCGTAAATAAATTTAATACCGAAATAGAATTAGTAACTATATCATAGAAAAATAAAACAGCCTTTCCTTGCTCCTCTCACAAAGTGTGAGAAGCACTCGGCTACGGCTCGTGTTTCTCCTTACACTTCTTTCATGCTTAATTACGCCACTTCCTGTGTGCTTTATTACTGAACGGAGCACGGAAAAAGCTGTTTTATTTGTTAATCATTTAATTTATGTTCCACAGGCTGTACAACTGTGTATGGAAAACGGAGCACAAGTGCACAAAATTAAGGTTCATATACACTAGATTATCACAGATGTTTTCAGATGTTTTGATTATCACAGAGCATTTGATTTTTGGGAATATACAAGTCATATAATGAACACTACTCTCCACGCAGCCGCTATTACTTATAGAGCCGTCTTGGTCGCGTAATTTAAAAATGGGTGTAACAGTTATTCCACGCGGATCGTATATATTAAAATATATATTAAATACATGCAAATATATTTTTTTCTAATTTTAAGTCACACCAGGTGAAGACGGGATCCCTGTGTATTAGACTACGAGCGGTCCATGTATTTCCCTTGGCGACTGTTTGGCGTGGGGAGTGAGACCCCTCCCCTGCGAATATTAGACTAGCTACTAATCCCCTCACTAGCTCGGCCAAATCAACTACAACAAATTCCAAACAGTGACCAAGGGAAATCCAGGAACTGACCGTTCGCAGTCTACCTGTGTATCCAGACGTTTTTCACAATCAGGTGTTAACAAGGGGCGTAACAAGGCCTCGAATACCATTTCCCCGCCAACTCCACAGGAATCCCGCCGAAAGCAAACTTTAGGGGGACTCCCTACGCTATTGGGTGTTTTAAAATATCATTTTCCAATGTTCAGCCCTCAGATGGTAAAACCGCTGTTCACCTGGCCTGTGCTCTTGGTCCGGTTGAAATGCTAACAATGATTCTTAAATCATGCTCATACATCTATGACTATTCTATGGCTGATAAGAATGGACTGACTTGTCTTCATATGTGAGTATTAGTATATCGATGATCGATGTTCGATACTCTTCGACAATACCATTGTTTTCATTACTGCGCGCTGTTCCAGAAGTGGATGGGGCAATAATAGACTAGCGTCCTAAAGGTGGCATGGTAATTATTCTACGTTAGTAAAAATACGCAGGTGATTATAGAATGTCTCGCGCGCTGATTGGTCAAGAAACTCACACTATCACGCGATAATCACCTCGAGCGAAAATTCAAAATGGCGGCCAGCCGCTTTGTTGCTGTTACCGGGAAAAATGCCTTTTATCTTCTTTTTCTTTCTTTCTTTTTTTGAAAGAATCACCTGTGTATTTATACTAAAACAATTATTTGCCTCAGTGATTATTGGGGAATATTTACCGAGACGCGAGTCTTCACGATAATCACTTCGCCTTCGGCGAATAATTGTTAAATAGTGCTTGAGAAGACGCCTTCTAATATGAATGAAACAGGGACTGCAGATTTTATACTCGAAATGACACTCGGTCATTAATTATGTCATAGAGGATTGGGACAGAGTAAAATACAGTTCAAAAGCGCCAGCAATATTTTTAACAGCATGCAATGATACTCAGATAAGATAAGATATACATCGAATCAAGTGACTTTGGCTACTATTGAATACTTCCCTTCACAGTTCCCTGCGCCATCTTGAAAGGTAGCCGTGGCTTTGCATCGAAGCGAGACTAACGGTGAGCTTGCAATTATAGAGACATGTGAATAATTGTCCAAGGTGTTTAAAAAAGGTCTCTATCAATGCAATCAATCTCGCTTTGATGCACGGCTACCTTTCAAGATGGCGCAGGGAACTGTGAAAGAGACTATTAAGCTGGGAGATCTCGCTTACAGAAAATGTCTAGTGCCACTGAATCAGTTATCGATAAAAGTATTACCTATACGAATTATTCAGTTACAAATATTTACATTGTTGTAACTATTGCAAATCCAATTTCATCTTTGATTTTTAGAGCAGCAAAATACGATCAAGCAGACATCATTGCACTTCTTCTTAACCAGGTACTCAGTACTACCCTTCTTTATATAACTGTGATAAATGTCGCACACAGCATGCGCACACTTTTTCTATTAAGTCTTGCTTTTTGTATTGTGTTTGGTTGTAAAGCACTTGGAGATTAGCAGCATGATGGCGAGTGCAGGAATCGAACTCGAGACCCCAGAGGTGCGAGAGGGCTCAACTGCTATGAGTTGCACAAGAAAGCGCACATGGTTTTCGATGTTTATTAAGCCCTTGATATTTTGCTAGAATAATTTTTATCATAGTATATATTTTTATTATAGTATATATTTTTATCATAGTATATATATTAGTATACGTACTAGCTACCCTACCGTATGTTCTTATGCTTGCGCGCCTTGTGAAGAAATAGAAAACGCGCGCTCGTGTGTTGTGTGCAGGTATAAAAYACGAGTGATTTGTATGCAGGGCACGAGAGAAGTGTTAGGAAAAACACTTCTCGAGTGCACATGTTCATTTCTATAGTCCCATTCACAGTTCCCTGCGCCAACTGGAAAGGTAGCCGTGTCTGTGCATCGAAGCGAGACAAACGGTGAGCTTGCAATGATAGAGACCTTTTTTAACACCTTGGACAATTATTCACACTGATGTCTCTATCATTGCAAGCTCACCGTTCATCTCGCTTCCATGCAAAGGCACGGCTACCTTTCAAGATGGCTCAGGGAGCTGTGATGGGGACTATTACTGAATTAGTTGTGCCCTTCTGACTTAAAAAGTTGTTTCAGGCTATCGATAAAAGTTAAAGGTTTGAAGAGGCACAAAGATTAAACCCCCAAAAAATTTCTAAAATATTCTTTGTCCAACAAGAATTGAAATCTAGAGAGTAGTTCTTGTGCACTATAACAGTAGTTCTTCTGCAACATATTTAAAAGATAATAGTTTTTCTCATTTTTAATTTTCAAGCAAATAGATATCAATATTCTGGACCGAAACGGGAAGACGCCATTAATGTGGGCTGTGTCACGCGGTTGTAACGAAGCCACTGAAGTGCTTCTGAGGAACGGCGCTGACCTGAGCCTGCTTGATAAACGTGACAGGACGGTTATCCATCTGGCTATTGGGAACCACATGACTTTAAAGCTGTTGTTAAAGGTAGGCAGCCTTTTGATTGATATGCAGGGTGTGGGATCACGTGGGTAATGTTTCAAGTGCCTTTTGATTGATATGCAGGGTGTGGAAACACGTGGAGATAATGTTTCGAGTGCCTTTTGATTGATATGCAGGGTGTGGGATCACGTAGGTATAATGTTTCGAGTGCCTTTTGATTGATATGCAGGGTGTGGGATCACGTGGGGATAATGTTTCGAATGCCTTTTGATTGATATGCAGGGTGTGGCATTACGTGGGTATAATGTTTCGAGTGCCCTTTAAATGATATGCAGGGTGTGGGATCACGTGGGTATAATGTTTCGAGTGCCCTTTGATTGATATGCAGGGTGTGGGATCACGTGGGTATAATGTTTCGAGTGCCTTTTGATTGATATGCAGGGTGTGGGATCACGTGGGTATAATGTTTCAAGTGCCTTTTGATTGATATGCAGGGTGTGGGATCACGTGGGTAATGTTTCGAGTTACTAAAAAGAAAGATTTTCTAATGATATCTAATAACTTCATGTTTTCCCCCATTTTTTTTCTTCAGCATAAAATCGATCTTCTCAAGCACAAAGACAAAACAGGATTAACAGTTTTGCATTACGCTGCAAAAGGAGGATATCCCTTGGTACTTTACACTCTTCTTAAAAATACCACAGAAAACCCAAGAAATCTAATCTGGCCTTTAGTCACGCCATTGTTTGGGCTTACTGTGTTAAAATATTTATGGCTCAAGTTTTTGTAGTGTTGAAGTTGTGTATTCTTTAGTTTAACGTCGGTATTTATGAATATTTTAACACAGAAATGAGACTGTAATCAATGAGCAAAGCGGTATTGTAACTGAGAAATGAGAACATGCTTTAATCAAAGACAGCGTCTTCTACTTGTTCATTTTTTGTATGGTATTGTTGTTAAATTTAGCGTTTTATTCCAGGATGTAGAACTCATTTTGTCCAAGCAAAACTCTCTGGCAGGAGTGCAGAATGTTAACGAAGAGACACCGCTACATTTAGCCGTCAGGTGAGAGATCACTTCAAAAATATATGATGAATTATTGACTCGAATATGATTATGAAAACCAGATTAGTGAAAATTTTAGCCTGGGATCCACTTGCTGTTGAGAAATGTTGGGTTAAAAGTGAAAAGAACAATAGAGTTAAGTAAATGACGTCATTTACCCACAATTTAAATGCTGCATAAAATTGATAAATTTTATCTGCCATTTTTTACTGTGAATAATACATATGTTGCTTGGCTACTATTGGCCCCCTGTGTTAAGATATCGCCTGTTAATTTTTTAGCCATGGTTGGATTAATATAGTCCAGTTATTACTTGATGGTGAGAATTCGCACATGGTAAACACTCTGGATAAGAACGAAAGAACGCCGTTACACCTTGCTGCTAAGAACAGTCACGCTGATATTGTTGAGTTTCTACTTCAAAATGGCGCAAGTTTACAACGGTAATAATAATAAAACGATAATAAAACGAATAGAGAGGTTTTTGGTCAGTGGAAAGGGATCGATACGACAAATTCGTATTCGTAGCTGTAGCAAACTGCAGCTGTACCTTATCTTGCTGTAGCCGCAACTTCGCGTTGTGGTTGGATGAATTGCTAGAACACAATGGAAGCCATTTTGATGTTATGATATATGCTGTAATTCAGTATCGTATTTTTTATCGTAATGTTTCCTACTCATACAATAAAAATTTGTATGGGAAGCCATTTCAATGTTTCTGGTATGTGTTCTTTAAGTCATTACCGTATGGTTACCACTCATAAGAAAACCCCTACTTATAAGAAAAAAACAACAACAGACCGATGAAACCACGTACCAACACAATCTTTGTTTTCCCCTCAACATTTAGTGATAGTCATGGACAAACGCCTCTCCATCTAGCAGCCAAAGGAGGATCACTTCACATCGTTGAACGAATACTTGCTGATAACTTGTTCTGCTTGAACTTAACTGACAAGAACAAGGTACACTTACTTTACACATGGTTTTCTTGTCTCGTTCAAGGTGAAACGTTAATTTGGACGCACTATGACGTAATGCATTGTTACGTAAAATTGTCTCTTAAAGAGCTCGTGTGCGCGCGTTCTTATTTGGTTCATCATGTACAATATTTACGTACTTTTACGTCTGAAAAAACTTAAATAAAGCTATGTGCTGTTGAGGACTTCAGCTTTCAAGATAGCTAGATGGATAAACGCAATGCATTCTGGTCTAGCTTGGAAACATCATTACTAACAACATACAAACGTGCTCGCGCAGCTATTTTTTATGTTTATTTTCCATCAGCAGAGGCCTTTTCTGACATAGATGCATTCGCAACAACATATAAGGCTTACGAACAAAAAATGTTTATACCGAATCTAGATCACGATGCGCCATGCTCGCTATCTAAGAAAAGACAAAAAGCGTTGTACCTGACGTTATGATGCGTTTGTCCATCGCTGCTTAATCTGTCTATTAATTTTTTAAATCTATTTACAGCCATTCTCAATCACACGTGCCGCTCTATCGAAGCTTTTGGTGGACGCCAATCAAGGCGTTTCCATGACATTCCATAGGCACGTGCCCTTATAGCTTTGTGTTTTCCGACAATGTTATGGAAACGCCCTTGTGATTGATGTCCACCGAAACCTTCTTCGTCGCGACAGAAACAATCGCTGGAGGGCACGTGCGATTGAGAATGGCTGTAAAAATGAAATCCATAGTAACACATTTCAATGGGCTTTGCTCACGCGGCAGCCATTGACTGGAATAATAGATTCCACCACGCGTATCCTCGCATTTAAGTGCTCGAGAATAAATACATGCGGGTCTGAGCATGCGACTGAGAAACTTTTGCGTTACAGGAGACTGCGTTACACTTGGCTGTTCAAGCTGGTCACGCTAATGTAGTAGAGTATTTCATATCCAATAAAGAGCAAGAGCTGACCGAAAATACTTTGAATAAAAACGTACTGGACATGGCTATAGAGAACAATCAAAAACACATTGCTATGGTATTAGCCAGCAATAGAAGGTCAGTCGGTGATTTTTGTTGGATTTCCCATAATCAGTAAATAGTATATCAATAGACCCTTTTCGAGTTCCAAATTACCGCTGTGTTTCTTGATTACAGACTCATTTACTCAGGGTTAGCCTCGATATTGTTTAGAATATTCACGTGTTCCAGTCAAGGTCCGTCGAATTTCAAAGTGTTTGTATTGTTGGAGTTTTCCGTTCTTTCCTTTACCGTTGGTATTTGTGAATATTTAAACACTGACTCGAGGCTAAGCCTGAGTAAATGAGTCTGTAATCAAGCAACACAGCGGTAATTTGGAACTCGAAAAGAGTCTATTACGCATGGTTATCTTTTATTATCATTAATGCCTGTTGTTGCGCATTTGGTGTGGAAGCTTTATTGCTGCGAATGAGTGTCAATGCGCATAGATGATAACACAGAAAGACGTATCTAATAGTGCGCTTGATTGTTGAGGTCGTTAATACGCATATTATTTCTAGGTGGCAAGAGATGTTTAAGCCTCCTGCTAAAGGCTGTCCCAGTCAAATGGCGCTGTTGATAGAAAAGATGCCAGAAGTAGCGAAGGTAAGGTCGGCATTCTCTCTCTCTTAACTGTTAAAGCTTCTCAAATCCGTCAATAGTTGAAAAAACTGCGCTGCTTGTGAATCTAGTAAAAAAGAGCAATTGTTTACGCTTTGACTCGCGGAGTGATTCCTCAGTTTCTGCAACCAGAGGCTAGCTCTTCTTTCAGCATTCGATGCCAGATCGAAATAAAATTTGGAAGTTGATTTTTGCGGATGGCGGGGAGGAAAAGCGGAGGACCCGGATTATAACCTTGATGTACAAGATAGAACAACATAACAAATCTACTCACATATGGCTGGTAGTCTAAGGATCAAAACCATGACCACCAAAGCGGCAACACATTAGCTGCGTACACCAATTGCGCTTAACTTCTTGCCACATTCTGCGTCGACAATTGTTTTGATATCTAATTTGTTTGCGCAGCGTTTTCTTGACCGTTGCATCACCAARGAAGGAAGAAAGGATAATCCTGACTATAAGGTACTCGACTAGCTGTAAATATTCTTACATATTGAATATCTTCCAATGCTCATATCTCAAATACATGCATAACATGACAAAGGACACTTCTTACGTATCGTGGAGGAAAGGATAATCCTGACTATAAGTTACTCGACTAGCTGTAAACATGCATTCGTACATATTGAATATCTTCCAATGGTCTTACTGTCTTACATACATGCTTAACATGACAAAGGACACTGCTTTACGTATCGTGGAAGAAAGGATGATCCTGACTATAAGGTACTCGACTAGCTGTAAACATGCATTCGTACATATTGAATATCTTCCAATGGTCTTACTGTCTTACATACATGCATATCATGACAAAGGACACTTGTTAAGTATCGTGCTTTAATCGGTTATGCTGCAATGTTTCTCTACCCTTCCTTGAGTAAAAAGAATCTCAAAGTCGGCGGCGCCGTTTCCTCGCACCCTCGCTCTATCAGATGCTCTGATTAACGGATCTTCAAGGAACATCTACTAGCTTGATGAAGAAAACACCGACGCAAGACTTTTCTTTTCTGCTATCGTGTAGATAAACTATTTGCCAAGGGTCTTCAACAAGGCATATTCGATAGCAGCGTTTTCCTAACGTATTGATTTCTATAAATAGATAACGTACGACTTACACTACCTGCAAGGCATGCCGGACTATGAACGATGTAAACCGAAGAATTCCCTCAAACCTCTTTACGTGAGTAACCGATTGTCATCATCATGTGTCATGTATCCCACAAAATAGTTATTGATTTTTATGTTTCTTTTCAGGCGATGGTGAAAAATAAGAGGCTCAACTGTTTACAGCACCCCACGAGCCTATCACTCATTAACGTTAAATGGTGAGAGACTGTCGTTTTTATTTTCCCATTTCATTTACATTCCTATCCATTTTCACATTTCATTTACATTTTCATCCATTTCCCATTTCATTTACATTTTCAATCATTTTCCCATTTTATTTACGTTCCTATCCATTTTCACATTTCATTTACATTTTCATTCATTTCCCATTTCATTAACATTCTCAAACATTTTCCCACTTCATTTACATTCTTATCAATTTTCTACTCATTTCATTTACATTCTCATTCATTTTCCCATTTCATTAACGTTCTCATTCATTTTCGATTTCATTTTACCCATCTCATTTACATTTTCTTTCATTCCTGTTCATTTACTCCTATTTCATTCCTATCCATCCCCTAAAGGTACAAGTACGGCCTGGCATTGGTTTTACTCAACCAGATATTATCAGTATTATATTTATGTATCGTAATTGGGTTAGTTTCTATGCTGACTGACAATCCCTGCTTCAAAGCCGCTGATAAGGTACGTTATAAGTTACAAGTATTTCTATTTTTTGTATGTTAATTTTTGCTGAACATCACTGACTTACATAATCCTCACAGTAAACCTTTTGTGTCTCTCACTTAGGTTCAGTGTACCAACGCAACAAATAGCTGGGACCTTGAAGGAGATCCCTCTTGGGTAAGCAACTCATTAAAAAAGTTATTTTAAGAGAGGGTCCTGAAAGGGTAAAATGGGAGCTGGGATTCGCCTTTTTTGGGCTGGGAATTGGAATTTTATGTACTGGGAATGGGATTCACAAAAAAGATATGGGAATGCATGTGGGATTGAGATTGAAGCAAAACATAGGACTATGGGATTTGGTCAAAATGGAGGCTGGGAAATGGGATTAGGGCCCTCCCTTAAAGACACTGTCTTAATATTAAAATTTTAATCATGATTCTACAAGACTAGGTCAAAGAGAAAATAAATTTGAAGGAAGAGAAAGATTACCCGTTCATCATCTTGAGAACTCTGTGATGCTATTTTTAGATTTTTATTTTTACAGTAAGGACATTCGAACCATGAACACTTTGAAATATTTGTCACATTTTTTATTGCAGACTATAAATCATCCCTTAAGCTAATCGATTGGAAATAAGATATATTTTGATCACTTGGTGTATTTGAACTCAATTCTTTATTTTAGAGAGCTTTAAACAGTAGAAAGTCGAAGTGTTCAGTCGAAGTGTTCACGGTGCGAGTGTCTTCACTGTAACTGAAACTGTTATCAACTTGCTCTGATGTTATATTTTCAGCCAAAACGTCCTGCTATCAAATTATACATACATCTAAAGATTGCCTTGATAGTACTAAGTGTGATCAAACTGATCAAGCAATTCATCGAAATTTACAATCAGGTATGTATATGACCACTATAATAATGTCTAGTCATTAAGTACAATCTTTTACTTTCCTCTCCCGCGCGCGCCTGACCCCAGCAGTCAGAGACCTTGGCAAATTCAAATAATAAGTAGTAAATAGTAATTGGAAGTAAGATGGAGATTTTGTCACGACTGAGGATCGAGCTTGTATAATACGTCCACATAACCAATTTGTTCAAAAACCCTCGAAGCACAGAGAGAATCAACAAGCAACTCGTACTCATATACGACACCGAGTCCGGGAGTCGAAGCCGTGTCGCGCGCATTTGGTGCGCTCTAATTATTCACCTATACGCCACACTTGCTTTTCGTCAAGTATTTTGTCTGAGTATCACAAAAAAACTCTTTGTTGTTCGTTTTAGGGCTGGGGTTATTTGACAAAGATCAGTTATCTTCTAGACCTCGCTCTCTGCATCACCATGATGATTTTCCTTCTTCCTGAAAACTGTAGCAGGTGTTTTGGCGCAGGCGCAGTGGCTGCTTGCTTGGCTTGGTTCAGCTTGATGTCTAGAATAGCAAGGTATATCAACCATACAATGTTATATGGCACTGTTTTAGTCTGTTTACTATTAAGGGCTACACTAAGCTAGTATTTTATACGTTAAGGTAAAGATAGGAGAGACATCGGGGGCGGAAGGAGGGGGGATGCCGAGACAAATACAGGAAAGTCGGGAAGATGGAAATGAAAAGGCAGACAGCCAGACGGACTTACATACAGACAAGACAAACGTACCGAGAAAGATAGACAAAACAGACAAGACAAACGTACCGAGAAAGATAGACAAAACGGACAAGACAGACGGACTTATAGACAGACAAGATAGACAGACAGACAAGACAGACATACATACAAACAAGGCAGAAAGACAGACAGACAGATAGACAGACGTATTTACAGAAAGACAAGTCAGTCACACAGATAGACAGAATAGACAAACGAACTTACAGAAAGACAAGACAGACGTACATACAGATAGTCAGATGGAGTTACAGACAGATAGAACACGGACAGACGAACTGAGAGACACAAAGCCTAGGCACCTCGAAGGTAGACTGCACGAGACTGCACGCCTGAAATCCCATGCATAGCACTACTAATTCCAACTCTCAGTAAATCCAATTGGCTTCCTTCTTTTAGGGTATCTTTCATGGGTGTTTACTTGATGATGCTAGAGAAAATCATCTTCACCGTTATAAGAGTAAGTATGTTTTTAACTGAACACTGGACATATTGACACCATGCAAAACAGCTGGTCGGCATAAATGACTTTTCCAGGGTAGAGAGAGTAAGGGGAATACAATGAACCTGCGAATGGTAAATCACCAGTTTTTGATAAGATTTTCCATCTTTGTTTCAGGTTTTTGTTCTTCTCTTCTTTTTCCTCCTGTGCTTTGCGTTTTCTTTCTACGTCCTTGATTTTCAGCAGGTAAGACTTGTTTAGCAGCGATAAATTATAGCGGCCCTTAATTCATCGACGAAAATTAGCTGTTCCGAGGTTGAGGTGAAAAAACTGAGTCGAGTTTGCATTGCAGTGTATCGTGGGGCAGTTTAAACCTGGTTCTCTCTATTTTTGCATAAGCATCAGAGTCTACGTCCTCACAGGGACATTCAGCGACATAAGCATAAGCACAAGCATAAGAAGAACCGAACGTTTTGATCCTTATGCTTATGCTTATGTTATGCTTATGCTTATGCTTATGTTATGCTTATGTCGCTAGTTAGGACGGGGCTTTAGGGAATATATTTCCAGTATGGCGTCTATTACCGTCGTCCCCCAAAACAGTCCCACGATGCACTGCAATCCCAACGGTCCCCCCTCCCAAACCTTGAGATTTTACGGTGTTCTGGTGTTGATGTTGCATGAGTCCACATTTATTGTTTCAATTTCAGGTGTTGTTTGACAATCTTTCCCAGTCTCTAACGACCACGTTCGTGATGCTGATGGGAGAAGTCAATTATTCAGTCATCTTCCTGGAGGATGACAATCTGTATCATCCGTTTCTCTTGTACCCAGTCTTCATTCTGTTCTGTCTGGGAATGCCTATCATTTTTCTTAATTTATTAGTAAGTTATATAGCTCTATAAGGACAAAACTGAAACCAACCAAAAGTACCAATTTTATCGAACCCTTAAACAACCTCTTGGCTGATCTACTGAGTCAGGGCACGGCTAACTCACAGATTGAACCCTGAAACAACCTCTGGGCTGA